GGTTAGGTTAAGGGTTAGGGTTAGGTTAAGGGTTAGGATTAGGTTTAGGGTTAGGTTTAGGGTTAAGGGTTAGGTTTAGGGTTAGGTTTAGGGTTTAGGGTTAGGTTTAGGGTTAGGTTTAGGGGGGCTAGGTTTAGGGTTAGGGGTTAATTTTAGGTTTAGCGTTTACAGCATGCATCTGTCTCTGCGCTGTTGTCACCCTGTTGATGACATCAGCTACGCGGTTTCGTCGAGCGCGCTTTAGTCGAACGCGGTTTTGTGGTGGAACCAGTAGGAGGCATCTGGCAAACCAGCACTGGATACGCCAGCAAGCACTGATCTCTACATATTCAATTACCCACGGAGTCCTTCTCAGGCACACTTACCGACCCACTGAAAGAGAGGAAGAACTTGAGAAGCACATCTTCTGAAAAAGGAGGGTGTCGCGCCACCAGATTGATGAAACGCTTCAAGGCACGGCGTCTGGTCTCGATGAATTCCCGGTCAGCTGGAGGATGGGAGAAGGTCCAGGTTGAGGAACCTCAATCTTCAAAACCTTCCTGATAGCTTTACGCACAAAAGGAAGTCCCACTTCTTCTACCAATTCCAGCCATGAGCTGTGCTCAACGGGACATCTCTAGGAGGATCGGGATCGCAATTCCCAACGCAAAGCCTTGGTTGACTAGGAAGCCTGGCAGTCATAGTTCCAACCCATTTGGGAAGACCAGCTTGGGGAAGGTCATCATTGATGGTCTTCCTGGAGTTTAGCTACCTCCCATCTCGTCCCTGCCAAGCTTACCTCCTAACATCCTTTTGGGAGGCAGGCCAGGGACCATACGGTAGGGGAACTTCTGAAGGAGCATCTCATGGAAAACTACAAAGTCGTTATACCGCCGGTAAACGGAGCACCTAAAACGCTGTAGGGAGAGTAAAGGAGTCCATTCAGAGCTTCCTCAAAGGAGATGCTGGAGCTCTTGGCACCTTGGAACAGAACAGAAGACCTAAAGGCCCTCTAGTCCAACACCTCCTGGCTTGGGACCAGGTTATTTAAGGGACCCTGGTTGGCCCTACCCATCCCATCTCGTCGGTCAAGATGGGCACACTCCAGATCTCATTGGCTAAGGAATGCCAGCAGGTGGATCCCAGAAGATATGTCTCGTCTGCCATAGTTGTCCACCTGATGGAGACCTTCTCCCTGCGGAGATGAGATTGGCCCCAAGCCTGCTGGCCTTTCACAAGACCTCCAAGACTTGGGTTCTATGCCCAGGCCTGGATCCCCAAGTAGGATCTCCAACAACATGCCAAGGCCAAGTCATCATGGGTCAAATCGCTTGGGGGCAAGTGTTACATTAATATCGAAGACATGGTGGAACTGAATCATTAAAGAAAGGATGAAAAAGGAGGGATGTGAAATGTGAACAACAAAAAAATGATATGAGTTTTAAACAATTTTAAATAATTAAATTAAGTTGTTAAATTCCCCCAAGCGAGTTGGCTGTGGCAGAGTTGGCTCATTCTGCCTCAAGTGTGTGAAAGGACCCCTCTCTAGTTGTGTTAACTGTTGTTGCATTTCTCACAAATGAAGGCAAATCTATGTTGCCACAAGGAAGAGGGAGTCAAGCTATTCTCCAAAGCCCCTGAGGGTAGGACACAAGAAGCAATGGGTGGAAACTATTCAAAGAGAGAAGCAACTTAGAAGGAAGGAGAAATTTCCTGGCAGTGAGAACAATTAACCAGTGGAACAACTTGCCTTCAGAGGTTGTGAAAGCTCCAACACTAGATGTTCTTAAGAAGATGTTGGATAACCATTTGTCTGAAGAGGTGTAGGGTTTCCTGCCTAGGCAGGGGGTTGGACTAGAAGGCCTCCAAGGTCCCTTCCAACTCTGGAATTCTATTCTGAATTCTATTCTATTATTCTATTCTATTCTGAATTCTATTCTATTATTCTATTCTATTCTGAATTCTATTCTATTCTGAATTCTATTCTATTCTGAATTCTATTCTATTCTGAATTCTATTCTATTCTGA